TAACAAAGAGAAATACCTCAAGATGTAACACATTAACTCACAGACATGGTTAAAACTGGTATTTGAGTGCACTAAAGTAATTCTTCAGACAGACCAGGCTATGCAGCTGATTACTGAACAAGTTTACTTGAACTGTATTACCCCACCTTATTTTGGAAGCACGGCTTACTCGCTATAATGGTGTCAGTGATAAATAAAAGTGCAAATGTAATAAATGGGGTTTTTTTCAGTACACAGACTGAAAGTGATTCTCTTTTATTCAATGTGAGACTGGACAAGGGTATAAGCAAGAACAGAAAAGAAAAGCAACAAGACACAACAACAAACATTCAAACAATGGCTAGGTTGATGTGGCAGGTGACTGCTCATCAGAAACACACAGCTCCAGAGCCAGGGCTACCTGCAGAAAGGTACATAGGGGAGAGAGAGGACACTACTGGAGAGAGGAGACACACATTTAGTGATGTGTAATGGTGGCATATAGATGGGGAGAAGAAGGGAGGAGAGGGAAGGAGAGGAGCTCAGCATCATGGGACGACCCTCAGCCTAGGCCTATAACTAAAGGATGGTACAACAAACCAAACTTATCCTAGAACACATGTTCAATAATTTCACAGACACCACTACATGGGCCCAAGCGAAGGCCATCCTGTTGACTAGAAACCACTGGTACGGTTAAATATACTCGGTGGCAACAGGACAGCCCACGCCCCCAGTTTGCTTGCAGTTACCAAGATGGCTGTCAGTCTAATCTCTGATCAGCTACATTAGATGTTATGATGCCATGACATATCGGAAGACACATCGCAACATATTAAGTACCTTTCTATCCGACCTCACTGTCCTACTAGGATTATATTGAAAACAACATTATATTAACCTAACTATAAGCTTTATCAAAAAGGAACATCTTAAGTCTAATCTTAAAGATAGAGAGGGTGTCCGCCTCCCGAACTGAGACTGGGAGTTGGTTCCATAGGAGAGGAGCTTGATAGCTAAAGGCTCTGCCTCCCATTCTACTTCTGTGGACTCTAGGAACCACAAGTAGACCTGCACTCTGAGAGCAACGTGCTCTGTTAGGATGATAAGGCTCTATGAGGTCTTTAAGATATGATGGAGCCTTGTCATTATGGGCTTTGTATGTTAGGAGGATTTTTAAATCTATTCTGGATTTTACAGGGAGCCAATGGAGAGAAGCTAATATGGGAGAGATATGATCTCTCTTACTATTTCCTGTCAGTACTCTGGCTGCAGCATTTTGGATTAACTGGAGGCTTTTTAGAAGTGTTGCATTTTTCAATTTTAGAATGAGCCTTTTATATCTACAAGTGCAATTCCCCCTTTGGCATAAACATCACTTCCAGGGGTACAGCTCTATATGTCTGTCAAATGGGTAGGTCTTAAAAGTAAAGGCATTACAATGTTAGCTTTTACTGAAAGCCAATGTTGCACATGCCAAATACAATTATTACTTTTATTTTGCATTTAGATCTGTCTCAGCAGACACACCCTGTGGCGGTGGAATTCCCAGCCTGTAATGAAATTGGATATAAGCTGGAGATTTTCTTTTGTCCAGAAACATTTTTGTCTGGAAACAACTACAACAAAGGTGGCTCTCTTGTTTAAATTAATGAACATGGGGATGGTAAATATTCTTCAGGATAAGCAGTATGGAGGCAGCATGGTAGCACAGTGGTTAGCGCAGTTGATGCACAGCAAGAAGGTTCTGGGTTTGAGCCCCAGCCGATCCAGTGCCTTTAAGCAGAGTTTGCATGTTCTCCCTGTGCCTGTGTGGGTGCTCCTGCTTCCTCCCACAGTCTAAAGACATGCAGCTTAGGTTGACTGGTGACTCTAAATTGCCCATGTGTGTGTGTAGTTGTTTGTCTCTCACCCCTCTGATAGACTGGAGACGCGTCCAGTGTGTACACTGCCTCTCACTCCGTCAGCTGGGATTAAAGCATGGATCGGGCCACATTTTTCTGTCCAAACCTGACCCTGACCCTGACCCAGGCCCAGACTCGACAAGCTTATAGTATATAATGTCCAGACCTGACCAGAGCCCAAAGCAGTTGAGTTTGATTGGTGTTTTCCCCCTTATCATTAAATAGAGCAGACATTTGAATGGTCCAGCCCTCTAGCCTAAAGTTTGAAATGTGAGTTCAAACCTGTTTGAAATGTGAGTTCAAACCTGACACAGACATAAACATAATGACTAAATTTCTGTCCTAACCCAGCCTAAACCATTGGGTAACCAATGGGTCCTGTTTGGGTATCCACACTCTAGCTGGGATTGGCTCCAGCCCTCCGCAACCCTCTTCAGGAATAAACAATATAAATAATGGGTGAATGGATTTAATTGTTTCTACCATTTTCATGGGATGGCAAAATTGACTTGCCAGGCCATTGTGCACAGTATTGCAGCTACACTACCATGGAGAATGACAGCAAGGAGATAATGTGTCCACTGTAGATAAGTGGCAGACATCCTAAAACATCACAGAGAAGGAAGCTTTTATCAAACATGGACAAATTTACATCAGAAATAAAGCTGGTGGAGATCTGCACAGATGCTCATGTTCAGATCAGAGCTCTTATAAGTAAGTATTCTGTTACAGTTTATAAGTGCATGTATTGAAAAGATGATTGATATGCTGTAGTAATATTGATGTAGTAATAATAAATAATGACAGATTCCAGTCTTTGCAGATCCAGACAAATGCAGATACAAAGCACTTGGAATTCATCACAGTCTGAACATGTGGCATGGTGCTAAGAACCTGGACAAAAAAAATTGCTGCTGTCAGTTAATTAATTGGTTTTCTAACTTTAACCGGTTCTTTTATCTGAAGGCCCCAAGAAGTAACACTCAAGAAACAGGAATCAGCTTTACGTAGATTTATTTTCTTCTGGTTAAATGCAGAGTTATTACAGCGCTGGGCTCTGAGAGATGACAAGTCTCCAAGAGCTCTGATAATAGGAAGTAATTCACATATATCTTCTCGGGCTGGGACTGCCCTGTACATGAGTGGAAACTCATATTATCTTCTAATCTGTTGACTCAACACTTACAACATGAATTGGACACAAGGTTCATACAAGGTTCATGCAAATCCTCTAGAATGTTCGAATAAGCAGCGTGTGTGTGTGTGTGTGTGTGTTGGTATTTTCAGGCGTTTCTTCATTCCAGTCAAAGAACATAATAGGATTTCACTGACTGATTATTATCCCCCTCTCTGAATGAAAGTATGATGTCATCAGGTGTAGTCTTTGTTTGGGGTGAAAAACTGCATATTCTCAGCCCTCAATAGAATCTGGTTTATTATCTATGTCTTACATTACTATTTAGGTTTTGTTTCTCTCCTTAAGGCTGCAAAGATAAAAAGACAGTCAGTTCCCCTGAAGTGGCTGAAAGACAATGTCAGCCAGTTTTTCTGGTGTTGTAAAATAGCTGAGCAATTTCTTGTAATCACATAAGTTTTTTTTCTCTTATGAGGTTTATTCATTTACTTATGGAAGAAATTTTGATACTGCTGTTTTATTTTTTTGCAGGCACCTATGACCTGGCACTGTTCACCATGTCTGTGACATTCACACCTGGACTGTGGGAAGCTGCCAACATGGGTACCTGGAAGAAAGACATGGAAAGGATTGGATCCAGAGAGACTCCAAGTGCCATAAAGCCTTAGTGGACACTGTTTTCAATAAGCACTGGCAGAAAGATGTAAATGAATATCTGCACTTCAGGTAAAATGTATAGCAATGATTCACACAGATGTACATTATGTGAGTAACCCTTTTGCCACCCGGTTCATTATAGTAAGGGAATAGCTACTTAGTGCATACCCCTCTAAACTCAAAAAAACAAATTGGCAAAAGAGACATTCCAATGTAAGAAACTTTGTCTAGGGTTCAGTATGATCCTCACCTTTAAAACATCAATTGGAGATTTCCCAGAAATGATATTACTTCAAATAACTCAGAATACGTATGTACTTTGTTACTTGTAACTTATGGACAATTTTTCCAAGGACTGTTTCACAGTGTAGAAACAATAAACACACACACTAAACACAGTTCAAGGTTGTGTATTAATTAAACAAACATATACCACAAATTTACCCAGTTCAAATATGAAATAATATTTTAAACCCTTGAAATGATGTTTTAACCACAAAATCAACCTGAGTGCACTCTTCAGGTTTTATGCAAGCTTGCGTTGGCGCGCGTTGGAGCTTATGTCCAATCGAAACCATTTTAACAGTCATACCAGTCTGAAAAAAATCCTCGTTCCTACCATCCATGGGACACAGGAAGTCTGCACATGGAATCCTACTGCCCTGTCGTCTCCCCACGCAGGTGAGTTCTGAATCTCCAGTGGCAACACCGTGTGCTTCCTTGTGACTCTCGACGAGGTAATTAGCACAGACACGATGGAGCTAGCTTTAGCATTAGCTTAGCTTTAGCATTAGCTTAGCTTAGTTTTCTCAGTTTCGTCTTTTTGAGAACACAGTTCAACTCACTAACTCGCAGCACAGGTTGTTCACAAACTCTTCCGTGATTGACTGGAGCGGGGAACAGTTGTCCAGGCTTGCTGAAGACAGATTATAAGCGCCTTTTCTCTGTCTTGAATCTTTAGTTGACACACACCTTATACGGCCATTGCCGTGACTTGTCCAGTTCTCCTTCGCGCGCGTCTTCTCTCTTCTTCTTCTCCTTTTTTTCGGTTGTCTTCTTTTGTGGTACACTCAAAACATTGCAAAATAATAGAACATGAGATACGAACAATAAATTCCTCAACACCCATATAAAACGGTTATAACACTGTGCAACTGCATGTTTCAACCCATCACAACAAACCATGAAATTTCCTAATGATCCACCATGTGACGAAAACAAACACCCCAATGCATCACCACAAAGACAAAACACTCTGGCAAACAAAAGAAAACAACACTCTGATTCTGTGAATAATCAGATTACTACATGTATAAGAGTAATTATGTGTCCAGACGTTTGACTGGTACTGTATATATCTGATTACATCAGATTGACAGCAGACCTAGAGGCATCCCAGAATCATATTCTGATGTATGCCAGCAAGCCCTACACTTTCATTCTCACAGTTTATAAGGCAGGAGTTCTGCTTGCTGCTCTAAACTAAAATTTACACTGGAACAGACCAACAACCAAAAGAGCTGAAGGCAAAGAAATATACAGTAAGTTAAAACTTTATATATTTAGAATTACAGTAATGATGCACACATTTTTTAAATCCATTTTTTGTTTGTAGGTGGTTATTTAGATGTGCAGGTGAGGTTGCTCAGTTATTATCATGATCAGCTGATACTCAATGCTTGACATTTGTGCAATTACAGTTTCAAACAGCTGTACAAGAAACAGAGGATACAGCATATATGCTGTGAAACCATAAAAAGACCTATAAATGCATCTCTGATTTCCAAACAAGGATTGTAAAGAGGAGAATCACAAGTGGAGTGGGGGATGCCTCGAAGGTGAAGCCTTCCATCAGGTGACCCCAGAGGATTCCGTTTGGCCTCCATACCTGCAGTAGCCTCATCACAATTGCTGCAGACACAAGTCAGAAAAGGTTCTTGGTAAGAGAGACAGCAAGTCCCTTCAGTTGGTCTGGAATAGAATCATCTGTTTATACCTGGATGTGGGAGGCCTGTCCCTAGGACAGTGATCTGCTGACATTTAACATCTCAGCCCATCGCTCCTGGTGGAGAAAGCATGGGCAGGGCTGTGTGAGGACAGAGCTGCCACAGGCTGTGGGGCTTTGCAAAACAGAGAGCCACTGCTACATGCCATGGGCTGCCTTACGGACTACACTGAGGTCATGCAGACAGCACACAGGTTCTTGTTGCTCTCCTGTGCTGCTGTAAATAGGAGAGTGTCCAGAAGGAGAGATGGTGCAACAGATTTCCAGAGACAAAATAGCTGTTTTTACGTTGTGAATGGACTGTATTTTATATAGCGCTTTCTCACAGTATGTTGCACTGGCCAAAGCGCTTTACAGGAGATCATACACCATTCACGACAGGCTGCCACACACTGGCGTTAGTCAAGCCACCGGGAGCAGTTCGGGGTTCAGTGTCTTGCTCAGGGACACTTAGGCATGCGGGGAGACCGGGAGTCGAACCACCAACTTGCTGGTCAGGAGACAACTGCCCTACCTCATGAGCCACAGCCACCCACATATCACAGTGCATTAGGACATTCTGCTCGATCATTCCTCCCCTTCTTGATTTTAGTGCTTTAAACATGTCATTTACTGGTCCATTGTTTTCCAGGGAGGGATGATTGATTCAGAGAATGGGGGGATTACAATGAAAACAGAAAGTACATTAAAATAGAATGTGTAAATATTAACTTAAGTATTCTTCTGGCAAAACCAAGGAACTTATCTTATCCAGCAATACACAAACCACTTCTGACAGACTATAGCCACTGACAAGCTCTGGTTCCCCCATAAAAAGAGTCAGCAGTATTAAATTCCTCAGAACTTTCATTAACGGTCATCTCAGTTTTATAAACAATACAGACTACATTATTAGGAAAGCCACACAGAGACTGTATCTGTTGAGGAGGCTTAAAGGTAGGGTTGGTGATCCTGGAAACACCAGCAACAACCTTTCTTTCTGACTTCTCTCCAAAACACAAAATGCACTGCCTGACTACTACTTACAGATTTCAGAAAAATAAAAAATGCCCAACACCAAAACAAAAGTAGTAATTACCTGTCCAGCAGAAATCTGGCCACCATGGCGTCACTTTTTAGCCCCTTTTGTTCTCTCAGTTGACGCTGTCATTCAAAAGCCACATCAATGTTAATTCTGGTTTTACTTCTTGCAGCATACAACTTCTTTTTCATTGTAACTTTCTTGAATATGTTGTTAACCACGCAGATCTGTGGCCCCAAACCATAGTTCTAGACCTATGGTTCATGGCTACGTTGCTGTAGCCCTGGCTTGTAACGGGGAGATGTGAAGAGAGTGGCCAGCTAACTCCATCCAAAACACAGGCTTTATTCCATCTTGGTACCACGAACACTACATGTGGCCTTTGATGCCCAGTTAACTGCATTACAATCCTAGCTATATGCTTAGAGCTAACTACTGGTGGTATTTTCCACCACCCGTGGCTGCATGTAAAAGGACTCTGTTATGTGCAGTGCTCTCATACTGTGCACATTGCATGCAGGTAGCAACTGGCAACAAAAGCAATGTTGCCTATAAGGCACTACGTCTTAAAGAGGAAGGCCAGGCCTGTAACAATGGTTTCCGTTTGCGAACGAAGGCTGCTGTGAGTACCTTCTCTGCCGTAGCTTGGTGGCTTTAGCCGTAAACCAGAGTACCTACAACTGCAACGCCTTGTGGAAGGCTCTTAGCCCACACACTGAGTGCACAGGCAGAGTGCATATGAGTAGGAAGTTAGGTTGACAGGCAGGTAGGCCATCCAGTGGTTTTGCTTGGGATGTGTAAAATTACTGGTCAGACTTTTTTCAGCCCTGCTGCTGCCACAAATGATGGATTTATTTCTTTATGTTGTCAGTGCAGTTAATGTATTCATTGCCATAAGGATGAAAAGAGAATTTCAAGATATGTGACAAAAAATGCTTCTGAAAAGAATTGCCAACCCTACCTTTAATGATTTTAATGTGTGTGTATAAGAACCTCGTGGAAAGTATTCTGTGGTATGGAAATATGAATGTCAGGAATAGACTAAAATTTCAGTGAATAGTAAATATGGCTGGTGAAATAATAAGAAAATCACAGATGCAACAAAGTGAAAAATATTTGAGCTATCCTCCGTGTTTCTAATTCATTTCAGTTGATCTTGATAGCTAATAGCAAGGCCGGAACAAGCTGGGTCCAGATTCAGCACCTCTCAAATTGTGACCAGCACCTATTTTCATGGGCCTGACTCTTCAATTACATATGAAAGAAATTGAATATATAAATAATATATAAAAAGTCCAGTCTAATACTTTTTGTAGAACTAGCCTTTTACAACAGCCTATTCGACTAAAATTTGAACAATTCAAAACAATAAAAACAGTCAGTTAGGCTAATGATGTCACAATGTAACCAGCCCACACTGGGTCAGGTGCATATTAACTGTAACATTATGTTAGCCAAAAAGTGAAAACACAAGTGAATTTGCTAAAGTATTTCAAATCGCAGCAGGTTGAAACTAGTCAGAAATCAGAAGCTAAACAGGTCAAGCTGGACCCAGTTATAAAGCCTCCAACTGTTAGTGAAAAGGTTGGTACAAGCCAGTCTGGTGCTGAGGTCAGGGATTTCATGAGGACTGAAGCAAAGCATGGAACAATCTGAAAGAGGACTCCTGCTCCATGACTGTGTTATGGGCTGTGTTAAATAAATGAAGGTATGAACATGTTTATTTAACGCTACTGCATTATGTAGTCTCCTCCGAGTATAATGTTAATGTGTAGTGGAATAGTAAGGCCCCAAATATGATGTCACGCTTTCCACTGACTGAATGAATTCATAGTCCTAATAGATTTAGCATCAATTAAAACTTGCACTTGGTTTTTTTTTTGTCGCTACAAACACACAACTAATAAGTCTGTGCAGATTCTCAGTCATCCAGGTCATAGTAAACTGAAAAAACCTTAGAAAAAATCAACTGGACTTAGATTTCTAGATCGAAGACGTTTCACCTCTCATCCAAGAGGCTTCATCGGTTCTCTGATGAAGAAGAGATAACCACAAAGCGGGGGGGTTCTACTAGAAACATGGTTTTAACAAGGGGAAACACGTCTCAACAGGGGAACAGACTGCTAATTAAAGAATTTTTTTTCATTCCAGGACCTCCTCTCCCCACACTGACAAGTCGGGTCCGTCACCACATGATATTCCGAGACCCCATGATTTACAAATTAAGCACTGGACGGTACAGACCAGTGAGGGCCACCAGGAATGTGTGTGGAACTTGTTTTTTTTTTTCTGTCTAATGCACTCAGAATGTTAAAAACTTTCCTAGTTCATGGAAATGTAGTCCTCTTTTCATTGTTCTGATTATTATTGTCACTCTTATTTTATGAATGGATGTTCTTTTTATTTAGTATTTATTTTGTATTATTATGTGTTGACATGTGTACATGGTGCTGTCTTAGCACATGTACTATGTGTTTTTTATTTTTTAACTGTGAGGTGAAGCCGAAGACAGATTTCCACTAAGTGCACAATAAAGTCCGTAACCTAACCTAAGCTCACCTTTTTTTATACTGTAAGACTCTGAGTGAGCGGGCCATTGTGCACATTTGATTGACAGCTGAGCCAGCAGGGTCACAGATGGACAGCGGGCCTCATGCTAGAGCAACTTGTACAAATAGAACTGGTGTGCAAGAGGGTTTTATGAACATGTACAGCATTCAGTAACTGGCTTACAGTTTATGTGTGAGATGGTCTGCCTTTCTCCACAGGGGAATAGCGCCTATAAACAGATGAATCATTGAGCTATAGTTTGGCATCTCTTCCATTAGCTTCTGTTACATGATGCATTCAGCATTCATTTCATCCGTGTTAAGGATAAAATGAAGTGAGTTACTGAGGGTTTATTTACCATTTTCTAGGACAAATCTCCATCCATTAGTTACTAGGAAATTAAACCCTTCCTTATTTTAACAAAGTTAAACAGCAATAATTTTATGACCACAGAATTCGACTGTTTTTCAAAAAACAACTGTCTTCATCTAATCACATGAAGCAAGCTAATGACATATTGTTGAGAGAAAATCTGTTTCGGGGGGCTGGAGTTTTAGTTATTGAGGAATTTTGAATGAGGTTTTCACTTCTGGCACAACCTGGAAGTTCTGATTTCACTTCAGCTCTTTAAAGACAGCTTTATAGCGTCACCCCTCCACCACCCTGCTGCCACTAATGGATTATTCACTTGCCTGCTATTCTAGGGGCTCAATCCCGATAAATTGATCTTATTGAAGAAGCCGGGGCAAAGTCTTTATTAAACAGACTTCTGTTGTTTTCCCAGATTTATTTGGAAGGGTTGTCACTTTTCTTTTGAAATTTAAAGTACCATTTGTAGGTGGGAAAAAGTTACTGTTATGAAAGTCTCTGGTATAAGGCCCGCAACACTAAACCACCTTGATGTGAGATGACAGTGCTAAACACTGCACCATCTGGACGAGTCACTGACACTTCCTGTAGCATCATCTACTTATCTGCTGTCCTTCAATACACTCAATATGTTCAACTCAAACATAATTTTACCAGAAAAAGGGACTACATGCAGTGCTTCCGCTTATAGCTCACTCTGGTCGTAACCAGCTCATCCTGAATCCCATTCAGAACATCTGGTGTTTCACACACTTACAGTACTGAGCATCTGGACTATACCTGTGCTACATAACCACAGGTGGCTGAAAGAGCTCCTTTCCTAAAAGAGATAGGAAGACTCGTGAAGTTTTGCTTGTTTTGCTGTCCTTTTGCGTTATTCTGGGTGACGTGATCCCAGATTACCACCGTCCCCTGGAGATTATTTAACCACCTGGATGAGTGAATGTCTGAAATCACTCATTTACATAGGCAAATAAATTTACCATTTAAAATGAATGTCATCTGGAGAGGGTGCTAAGACTGTGAATTCCTTGGCATTTATTTCTCAAGCTCCTTTTACGTATGTATAGTATTGTAGTGTATATGGAAGGTAAATTTAAATGTCTGTGTGTTCTGTGATGTCTGGGTGTGGTATGTTGTATGATATTAGCTATATATTTTGTTATTGTTATGCACTTTGTAACATTTGTTTTTTAAAGTGATATACAAATAAAATTGCTATTGTTCCAACCTCTTGCAGCTTTAAATCAGAGCCTCAACATTCATGTCTTGTCAAATGTGTCAAATTCACAAAATAAAGACAAAGAAAAAAATGCTAAGAAATGATGGAGGAAAGGCTACAAGCATTAAAATATCTGAACACCTCACTGTCCTCATACAAATATAAAAGCTGGTTGGAATACAGCTCAATGTAACGTTCAGCTTTAACATGGAGCTTTGGTGTCACCTAGTGTACAGAGCAGGAACTTTTATATACTAACCCAAATACCCAGGGTCTGACATGCTCCTATACCTTTTTAAGTCTTACATAATAATCAATACTGGGGAACACTATTAATGTATGAAAGATTGCTTTTCAAGATATTTTTATTAATTTAGAATTTTGTTTTGTCTTATTTAAATGGGTGCTAAGTTCTCCTGTCTAATCCTTCTGAGTTTATATTAGCACCAAGCTCTAAAAGTGTATGCATGAAGAGACACAGCTTAGATCCCAATTAAACTACATTTAGGAGGATAAAAGCCCTGCTCTGGGTAATAACCCAGAAATATTACTGAGACTGGACAAATCAGTGTCTGACATGCACACACACTTACAGAGACACACATGCATGCACAATCATTTAACGTGCTAACTTTTGCTTTCTCAGCAAGACCTCGTCAAATGAGGTACAAAACTGCTGAGGAAATGGTGTGCTGTGTTTCAGCTCTTATCATGGCTCATACATTATATGTCGATGGAAGCACAACTTATAACCTTTCCTTCTCAAATCTCCATATACTGTGATATCAGCACTGGGCAGCAACTTCTATTTCTGTCCTGCATCACTGAGGCACTTTTGTGCAGCTCTCTGTAAAACCCCTGCATTTACACATTATTGACACACTATGAAGATTAATTACTCAGCCTCATATGCTGATCTCCTTCTAGCATAGCACTTGGCTATTGGGAGCCAAAACTCTTAAACAAATTCAAGTTTACTGTGGAAACAGAGGGTTTTTTTCAGTACACGGACTGAATGTGCTTCCGTTTTATTCAATGTGAAACTGGACAAGAGTATAAGCAAAATAACAACAACAACAACAAAAAGAACAGAAAAGAAAAACAACAAGACACAACAAAGACAACAACAAACAATCAAACACACTGGTCAGGTTGATGTGACCGGTGACTGCTCATCAGAAACGTAGAGCTCCAGAGCCAGGGCTACCTGCAGAAAGGTGCAGGGAGAGAGAGAGAGAAAACACATTACCGGAAAGAGGAGACACACAGTTAGTGATGTGTAATGGTGGCATATAGAAGCATAGAGAGAGAGAGAGAGGAGAGGAGAGGGGAGGAAGGGAGAGGAGAGCATCATGGGGGGTCCCCTCAGCAGTCTAAGCCTATAGCAGCAGGGTCACCTGATCCAGCCCTAACTATAAGCTTTATCAAAAAGGAAAGTCTTAAGTCTAATCTTAAAGGTAGAGAGGGTGTCTGCCTCCTGAACTGAGACTGGGAGTTGGTTCCATAGGAGAGGAGCTTGATAGCTAAAGGCTCTGCCTCCCATTCTGCTTCTGTGGACTCTAGGAACCACAAGTAAACCTGTACTCTGAGAGCGAAGTGCTCTGTTAAGATGATAAGGCTCTACGAGGTCTTTAAGATACGATGGAGCCTTGTCATTTAGGGCTTTGTATGTTAGGAGAAGGATTTTGAATTCTATTCTGGATTTTACAGGGAGCCAGTGGAGAGAAGCTAATATGGGAGAGATATGATCTCTCTTGCTCTCGACATTTCTAAATGTAACAATACATGTCAAGCAATTAGTTTAAAGGTGTCAGTATGTTTCACATGAAGAGCAGTGCAGATTGCTGAACAGTTTTTTGATATTAGAACTGGAAAGGCATTCTTACAGTCTTTTTTTTGTACCTTTCTGAAAAGGCAATATGAAAGGCATGTCATCTTATGGCCTCGGCCAAGATTGCCAATTTGAGAAATCAGTTTGAACTTCCCTCTGATCCTGCCTCGCCATATTTATTCTTAACTGTACTTTCTTAAATCACATTTCTTGCTTACAACCAAGTGGAAAATCATAAGATGTGTCAGCTATGGCAGATACAAGAATTCCACTTCTTAGTGGAATCAATCTGTTGCTGGGTTTTTTACTTAATCTATTCTGCAAAAATGGTTGGACATTCACAATTAGCCTAGGTTTTTATGGAGAAAACAGGAGGAAACTGAGTGAGGCAGTAGGTGGCCTGCAGGCAGTAGTAAAGGAAGTATTCAGATGCTTTACTTAAATAAGAGTAGCCATGCAGCAATTTAAAAATACTGTATCAGTGGTAAAGGCTCTACATTGCAAACCATACTTAAAGCGCCCATGGCATGCTTTTCCTTGTTTTCTGACTTATCTACAATGTTACAATGGTGAATTATCATCTTAGACGTGACCTAAAGATCAAAAAATGAGGTGAACGTATGTTCTAGTATTTCTCTGCAGAAGCAACCCGGTATATATACTGTATGTTTTTCCTTTTAAACTTACCATTAAGTCCCACCGAGTAGTGGAAACATCACTCCCTTTCAAGTAGCTCCAAAGTCGGTAAATCCAACCGGTGGTCGCTGCATCTTCCTCCATGTGACACACAGGTACTGAGCTTCGGGGGAATCCAGTATTGATGAGCTGATCATTCACCGCCACGGGGGGCCTCACAGGCGGCTGCTTGGAGGTTAGCCCCAGCCAGGTAAAACAATGAGTCCCTGTACATGAACATTCCTGGACATGCAGTAACCTCAGGCCCTGTATTTTTCTCCACATCCTCTGGTATTGTAGTATTTAAGCTGCAAAACAAACAAACAAACAAAAATTACCACTCAGTGAGCCAGAAGAAGTATTGTGATTCTCCAGAGGAAAAAAATATTTGGACTTTCGCTGAAAATAAAAATATCAGTTCAGGTGGTCCTGAACACAGTCGTTTTGTGTCCCTGTAGAAACTCTGTGTGTGCAGCAGTTGACCTTTTTCTGTGCAGAAAGGTGTTTAGGTTAACAAGGCTACAGTAAGATCACAGCATCACAGCAGAAGATTTAAACCACTGATGGAGTTACTGCTGCTGTGCCCCATGTGTAAACTGCACAGCGTCTCTCTCAATGTGAAGACACATGTATCATTTCTGCTGCTGTGTGATGGCCACAGAGATTTAATCAAGTCAAAGAAAAGGAGCCATAGTACACAATGTTTGATCTGAATAAGACAGTGTCTGAAAGTAGTGGTTCGAACCAGTAGTGTCAGAGATGCTGAAGGAGATGGGGCTGAGCCCCAGTGGGCTAGGGCCCAATTCATGATTGTTAAACTATCCAGCCATATATAAAGCACCTTGAAGAGACTTTAAGTGAATGTGAATGCACTTTTGTTAATGTTGTTAATAATGACTTCTGCTTTTATTAGTATAAGTATTTAGTGTTTTTCCAGTTTTATTTGGTCTAATGATGCCTGATGGAGGCCGATGCATGAGTTTTTTGGGGAGCCACAAAATCCCTAAATCTTGATACCACATGATTGACTGAAACACTGTCAAAAGTTGTAGCTCAACATCCAAACTATAACTTTTCATTAGAAGGCCACTAGATGGCAGTAGAGAGTCAGGAAGAAATGACTGTGAACTAAGGAAGCCCTGGTAAAAACCTGATAACTACACACTGGAAGCCCTTATGTGAACAATTCACAAGTATTGGGAGCATGTACAGTTTGAACAACTCCAGCTGTCTTACCTATGCCTGGGTTGTAAAATACCAAAAAGTCAAACATAGTAAATCACAGTAGAAAACAGTGTACTGATATGGATACAGGCTGGGGAATGTAATTGTGAGATATAACCTTTCAAAACGACACTACTTATGTTTTCATTTATCTGGCATGACAGTCAAATACTACATAATATTTCTTATGCTTTATTGTCCACTTTTATTTCTACTTTTATGTGTATTTTTGAAGCTTCCATCAGATGCTAGCTTGGTTTGTCTGTGAGCAAAGATGTGATTTTTTTTTTCTTTTTTACCTTTCTCCCACATAACCTGCTGTTATTTTGGACTTTTGGTGTTATGACATATAGCCTACTACATACCTGGACCCTTGACAGTACTACTCTGTCCTTTGAGTTGATGAATAACTAACAGAAAACATTGCACTGAACTTTCATCTATTTATGTAATAGTTTTGCCTCAGCTGACTCCACTAATACACTAATCACACAAATCAAAAATAGCATGGAAAAGAGTGATACTATATTGCATAGCACTTTTTTGAAAAGAAAAAGAAAAAAGACAATTTGCTTGCAACTAAATAAACATTCCAAATGACAATTTGAGTTCAGTTTACATTACTTGGATTATGGCATTAAACAGTTTTCATAATGTGCCGGGGTGACTTTGGTATTCAAACGTTTCCACACACGCAAATGTTCTGAAACTCTTTTGTCATTTCCATGAAAGCCGTTGACGTCATCAAGGCGTCATCAAGCCACAACAGCCGCACTGAACCCTGACGGGCTTATATGGAAAAATCAACGCCCTCTTCTGTTTCCTTCTCTTTCCTCCTCAAGTGTCGTGGGGCTCGAACCATTGATAGCGTGGGGGGTGTTACTGTATGCGTCCTATTTAAAATGAGACTTTTAGCCGCCGGTGAAGAAAAACAAAAGAGCCAGATACATTGTGAACGAAATGTATCCGTTTCTTACATTGTAGCCAGCGTAGTCTAACGATTTTGGTGCCCTCGGGAAAACGTTACGGGCTAGTCCATCTGTAGCCAACCCCTGAGTTACCGGTGTTCTGTGACTCACCAATCTTTTAGGTGCCGGCTTTCTATAACCTTCAGAAGTACAAATAGAAATGAGGTGTATCTTGTCTAAATGTTCTAAAGCTTTTTAAATGGCTCGGTTTAATTATTAGTGCTATAACGTTAGGTGAAAGGACTACATTTATTTCTCTGTTGGACTCAGAACAGTAAAGAATGAATTCAGCTCGTCGTTGTTCGACTTTATTGAACCAGCTGTGTGTTTCCCCGCGGGGCGGATCGACAACCAGGCGACCGTTTTCACCGGGACCATGGTGCCATCGCCCCGGTGTCGGAGCAGGGGGACTCAACGGGACCGTTCTCCGACCGAAACCGAGCGGAATATCCACCACTGCGGCAGCAGCAGGTAGGCTACTCTAAAGCTAGAATACTGTTCAGCATAATGTAAGACCTGTGCTGCACATTTCTTTACATAATTCTAGTTGACCTTTAATCTAATATGTCACTCTGGTAAATCAGTATCTTAGCTGATCCTAGGACTGCACTCTTCTGGACAGAGATCTCAGATGTTGTTCCTGAGATCTGTTGGAGCCACTCTCCCAGTTTGGGGGT